TTTGTTTTGTTTCTTTTCTCAGCCACGAAGTACAACAGCCAGCAGATCCTGGACATCGTGTTCATCCTCCGGGTGCTCCGGCTGATCCGGATTGTTGACAGCATTCAGAGGTAATGCAGAGAACAGGGTGGGGAGGTGGTTTTTGGGGAGGGGGTGGGTGCTCTGTGCCAGAAGCTGGCTGAGACAGTGCCTTGAGTGCCCTGCATGGCCCCTTTGTGGCCACTCCACAAAGCCTCCCAAGGCCTTGTCCCAGCATGCCTGGGATGAACCCAGTTGCTGCAGCCTCTCTGGAGACTTGGTTTATTCGTGTGGGGAGCATTTGGTGGCTGGAGTGGGACAATAAAAATGGCAAAGAGCCTCCCCACAGCAGGTGTTGTGACTCGTTCGCTGCAGGTTCCGGGTCATCATGAACACCCTGATAAACATCGTCCCGACAATGCTGACTTTTGGTGGGCTGACTCTGGTAAGAAATCCTGGTCTCTCAGCTCAAAGCACTCCAGTTTGACAGGAATGTGTCTTAACTCTCCCACTTGTGCTGTTTCCAAGGGGATAAATGCAAATCCCTGGATGGCAGGCCCTTGGAACTGTAAGTGTCCGTTTGATCCATGGTCATTGCTTAGGCAAATGTGTGCAGAGGGGCTGGGTTCCTGCTGGATCAGGATCTTCTTTAGATCCATGGGGCAGTGAAGGTGTTCTGGCTTTGCATCAGAAGGAATCAAACGTGGTTTGGGCAAGAGGCTGAATGAGAAACCTGGTTCTCAAACGATTTCCTAGAAGCGGCTTCTGTTGTGATTTGGGAACGCTTCCTTTCCATGTATTTATAGTTCTTGGCTTATTATTCCTGCCTGGTGGCTGCTGTGGGGTGGCTTGGGTCTCTTGGACTCTGTGCTGCTCCCCAGCACCTCGCTGTGTCTGTGGAAACCGGGAAACCTGCTGGGATGCTCAGCTTGCCCTGGAGCTTGCTGCTTGCTGGAGAAAGCAGGTGACGGGGTTTCTCTTCCCAGGTTGTGTACTGTGTGTTTGCTATCATTGGCATGGAGCTATTCCACGGGAAGATCCAGTTCTTCCCTGCCGACTCGAACGCTCCTCACGCCCTGGAATGCGGGAACCCGGCTCTGAAGGATTCCCTGTTTGCCCGGGGGAAGTACTGCAAGAACAACTTCAACGACTTCGCCTCGTCCTTCATCGTCCTCATGGAGCTCACCGTGGTCAACCAGTGGCACGATATCCTTTGGGGTCCCACCTGCAGCTTGGGGAGCAGGACTCGGTGATCCTTGTGGGTCCCTTCCAACTTGGGTTATCCTGGAATCCGTGCTCTGCTTTTCCCCCGGTGCTACACGTGGACAGACAACAGGGAAGTGGTCTGTGCTGTGTGGGGTGTTTTTGGGTGGTCTTTCCTGGTTTCTCCCTCAGTGCCTTGTTCTCCTCCTGCCCTCTCGTCCTTAACTCCCACCGCACTCTTTGCCAACGGATTTGCCAACGTGACGGTCCAGCCTGCCAAGCTGTACTTCATTGCCTTCCACATTGTGATGGTGATAATCATTGTCAAGTGAGTTTTGGGTTGGTTTCACGCACTTTGGAGGGAAAAGGGGCCCATTCCCCTGCCAGGGTACTGCTGGTGGTCCCAGGGTCACCCCTGCTGTGCCATCCCTGAGATGTGTGGGACATGTTCAGAGGGATCTGCTACATCCTTGTCCTCACTGCGTGCTGCTCTGTCTTAGAGCTCCCCATCTCCAACAGATGGAGTGCTGGGAAATGAGCGTGGGAATGCTGAGACAGTCAGTGGTGCCAGTAAGGAAATGCTGCCGTGTAATTCTGCTCCTCACTTCTTTCAGCATCTTTGTGTCCTTCATCTTGGAAGCTTTCTTTGTGGAGTACTCCCTGGAGAAGAGCGAAGTGGAAACTGCCATCGAGCAGAAAATCCAGGAGCTGGGAATGGGAGTTCAAGAGTGAGTACCCCCTAAAATGGGTAGTGCTGGGTGTGGCTGATGGGGGCTGTGGGACTGGAGGGAAGAGCCACCTTCTGTGTTGAGGTGTGAGCTGAGCCTCCTCTTCCTTGTTACAAAGTTGTGGCTCCTCAGCCATGCAGCCCATGGCCCTTGTCCTCCCTTGGCATTTCCAGCCCAGGGTTCCTGCCCAGAGGACAGGAGACGTGCTGGGCATTAACCCCATGACTGGTGTTCTCCCTGCCCTGGAGAGCCCATCACTGCTGGGATCACGTGGGACCCTGGGATAGGGTGTGCCCCCCTTCCCAGGGTAACTTCCAGGCCTTCCTGTGCAGGGATGAGCTCCAGGATGAACAGCTCCTCGATAACATGGAGAGTGACGAGCACGAACTCGAGGGGGAAGGTGGGGCGAAGCCACAGCCCAAAGGGCTCGTGTTTAAAATTGCCTCCAAAAGTAAGTGTGTCCCTCCAGTGTGTCCAGGCCTTTTGAGGAATCTCCCAAGCCTTCCCGCTCCTTTTGGGCTATAAAAGTAGCTAAAACCCCCCTGGAGGCTTTGGGAGAAATGCAGACACTAATGTTTGTTTGCTGTTTCTTTTTATTTCTGTAGCACCTTTTCCTCTCCTACGTCGGCCCTTCTGTGTTCCTTGTCCTCATTTAACCACCCTCTGAAGACACTGCCTTGGTGGCTGAGTAGTTCCTGCATTGCCAAGAATCCTGCTTTCCTTTCTCCTTCCTCTATGGACTTTGCATTCCTCCTGGCTTGGATCACGGGGTGACTATATCCTCCTTTCTGCTACTATTTTTCCTTCTTCTCCTGGCTCTCTTGCTGTTCCTCAGCAGCTCCCCAAGATCCCTCTTGGCTGGCTGGGATCAGGTGTCCATTGTGAGGGAATAGAAGGGGTCAAAATCCTCAATAGTGGTCTTATGTGTGGGAATAGGGGGGGCTCAAAATCCTAAATAG